GAAATACGTTTATGGTAAAATTTTGGAAAATGGGCGTGGCACCGCCCACTTATGATCACATATAAGTATATCGGTAACCGTTCTACCAATTTGTACCAAACTCGGTATGGTTATTGCACTTGCCACGTGTAAGCAAAACGTTGAAAATTATTGAAATCGGACTAAAATAACGGCCGATTCTCATATAACGGTAAATTTAAGAAATGCTTGAAACTTCAATATTTCGAAATTGAAGGACGCTAATTTACTCAAAATTGATACACCTCGGCTTACCATCTAGCGGAAGGTTTCGGAAGGGTGAAAAAACATATATTTAACACTTGCGCCGGGTATTTAATGTTCGGCTCCGCCCGAACTTAGACTTTCTTACTTGTTTTACATTGGATTCGTAAATCCGTTTTTCTTTGGTCATTGCATTATTAAATGCTATTTTCTTCATTTTAAATTAAATATTTTATAAAACTTATCTTTAATTTTCACAGCACTTTGAATTTCGAGCGGCTTTTCGTTTCGCGACTTTCTTTTCTCCGTTGATGTGCACATTTGAACTTCTTCAGTACCAAGTACATTATAATCCGGTTTTATTTTTTACGTTTGCATACATTGAAATTATCATACCGCAATAAAAACTTTAATTTTTACTTACTTTCATTTTTTGCTATGAATGGGGTCCAATAAATGGTAAAATTATAGTTTAAACTAATTAAGTTCAAAATTATATCCAAGTACTTCAGTAATCGAATATTATTTGGCAGGTGCAACTACGTTTGTTTAGCACAAAATGCAGCCCTGTTAAATCTTGTGGTTACTATGGCAACCAACTACCGTTACTTCTATCAGCATTGCCACTCACATGATCAAACAAATGTCAGTCATTCGCTACAGGGCCAAACNTTTGTTTAGCACAAAATGCAGCCCTGTTAAATCTTGTGGTTACTATGGCAACCAACTACCGTTACTTCTTACAGCATTGCCACTCACATGATCAAACAAATGACAGTCATTCGCTACAGCGCCAAACTAACATATAAAATTTTGCATATGTGTTAGTTTTCGTTGTGAATGTGTTGGAGTTTCTGTCAATCTCGTCTTGTAGGGTATTGTGTAGACGCCAATGTATTATTAAGTTGAAGCCCTAGCGACGTCAGGTTTCTAAGAAAAGTAGGGGAAAAAATACAGTTTCGAAGTTTTAACCCCCAATAATCAAATCGCGAAGGCGACAACAAATACAGTTCCCGCTTTATTGAGCTTTAAAAGTCAAGCGGAAAACATTTTCTGTGTTAAATTAACCGGGATTGACTTAGTTGAAAAATGTTTTTTTTTTTTTTGTGGCGAGTTATCGGTTAAAAGAGGCGGCGAAAATTAACTAAATTTATTAAATCTGCATTTTAGAATTTACCAAATTGCCGAATTCCAAATCTTGACCTCTCATTTCGGTAAAACTCTGTTTGGGTTAATTTAATTTACCTTTAGGTTAATCTGATTTGCATTTCGGTCAAACGAAAATTCCTNGTGGCGAGTTATCGGTTAAAAGAGGCGGCGAAAATTAACTAAATTTATTAGATCTGCATTTTAGAATTTACCAAATCGCCGAATTCCAAATCTTGACCTCTAATTTCGGTAAAACTCTGTTTGGGTTAATTTAATTTACCTTTAGGTTAATCTGATTTGCATTTCGGTCAAACGAAAATTCCTAATCTCTCAAAAATTATTTTATAGCGATTTCGTAATAAAGGTGACGTATTTTACTTTAAATGGCGTGGTTAAAGATTTATCTAGGTTTTAAAAAACATAATCGAATAAATTAAATGTAAAATAGTCAGTTTAATACTATGCTTAAATTAGAATATTTTGTAAAGTAAAAAAAATTACATCATAGAAATACATATGTGTGTATATTCTCTCGTTTTTCTTTTAGCCATAAAAAATATCAGCCATTCATGTCGCGAATATCCGAATACAGTCTAGCTCACGATCTACAGGAACAGAATGTAGCCATTGCTGGTAGTGATTCGTACAGCGTTAGACATGATAGTGACCATTCTTCTCCAAGTTTACATTCACCAGCCATACATCAATCCGCATATGAAACAGAAATAATTGATAGAACTTTGCAACAGAGTGAAACGAATACAGTATACTCTTCGCCTTTTCTAGCTACAGCATCGCCCTTACTAAATTCCAATTTACCATTACACACAAATAATCAAGTCATGCTAAACAAATTTCTAGCGCATCCCAATATGGTGGCCGTATCTGTACCAGTGCTCGAAATAGAAGACTGTCCAACCAGTGCTGATGCCGCAGCGTGGAATTACAATGATTACAAGGACGAAATGTGCGCCGTAAACTGTTCGTACTTGGAAAGACAACAGAAAGTGAACGAAGTGAAATTTCGTACTGGAGTCAATGCCGCAAAATGTGCCAAAGAAACCAGAATACGTAGACCAATGAACGCCTTTATGGTGTGGGCGAAAGTAGAGCGAAAAAAACTGGCCGACGAAAATCCAGATCTCCACAATGCGGATCTTAGCAAAATGCTAGGTAAGTACACTATTAAAATTGCATGTAAAATTACCTGAAAAGTGTTTATTTTTGAAACGGAATCTGTCTTAATATACTCTCAAGATGTTTAAGATTTGATTTTGAACATGAAATGTTTAAAATATACACAGGAAATGTTTACAATTGCAAACATTTTGGAAGTAAAAATACATTTTTTTACTATTAATAAACATTAAGTGCTTATTGTTGCTGAGTAAAACAATCATTTCACTTTACATTTTTACTTTGTATAGAACATGAGATATAATTTGATATTTATGTCGTTTTGTTAAATTAGGAAATTTTTTCATTCCAAAAGAACGTTCGAGGAGATCAAACGATCATGTAAGAATTAAATTATTATTTAACATATTGTACATGCGGATGTATTTTACAAATGTAACATTTTTTTTAGATATTAAAACATCGCATTGCAATATATAACGCGGTTTGTTCAAATATACGTTGTTTTCTTCGAACGCGAATAGTAGCCAAAACATTTTTTTAATATATGATCAGGACACCCATNCATTTTTTTTAGATATTAAAACATCGCATTGCAATATATAACGCGGTTTGTTCAAATATACGTTGTTTTCTTCGGACGCGAATAGTAGCCAAAACATTTTTTTAATATATGATCAGGACACCCATAAAACGCTACAATCTTCGGAGCAACAAACACGTAGTAGCAGCTGATCTTTCAAATAAATCAATGGCCACGTCAGATGCCAGCGCCGAGATGGATTCAGCCGAGATGAATTCAGCGAACGAGGGAGAAATGGACCGCACATCTACCCTAACAGATAAGTCAATTAGTGATTTAAAAAGGCAAATTAGAGCACTGCAGTGCTCATTAGCCGCGGCAGAAAAAGAAAAATTNGAACGAGGGAGAAATGGACCGCACATCTACCCTATCAGATAAGTCAATTAGTGATTTTAAAAGGCAAATTAGAGCACTGCAGTGCTCATTAGCCGCGGCAGAAAAAGAAAAATTAGATTTGAGGCAAACAATCGATTCGCAAACGAAATTTAGGGCCACAAATGCCATCTCTGCTGCACCAGACTGTGCCAACCACCATATCGGCAGTATAACCTCTGCCAACATCAATTCTGCCGATGTAGTCTCTGTTACCGTCACCTCTGCCGACGTAGCCTCCGCCAATCCCAATCTTCTCAATATAACCCCTTCTAACGTTATTCCTGCCAACGTAACCTCTGCCAGCATTAACACAGTCAGTGGCAACTTTGCCAACGTTACCACTGCCAGTGTAATTTCGACCGATCAAATTACTGCTAGTGTTACCTCTGCCCACGGTAACCTTTCAAACGTTTTTTCCAATGCCAATGTTACTCTCGCGAACAGTAACTTCGCCAGTATATCAACTGCCACCGCCGCATCATTGAGTGCTCCATATTCCACTATACTGCCACCCTTCGCCAACTATGCCGACGCTATAAGCCATAGAGCCAGCACTTTCTAAACATCAGTCGAATATAAGAAAACTACAAGACCTTCCAGAATTTACTGGATCGCCGGATTCTTTGCGGCGTTTAAAGAAACTACAACGATGTATATGTATACAGATTTAGAGAATCTATTTCGTCTACAGAAGTCTCTAAAAGGGACAGCACGACAACGAGCGGAATCCTTGCTAATTCACCCGTCAAGTGTAAACGCCGTAATATCTACGTTAGAATTTCATTTTGGACGTCCGCAGTTATTGATACGGAGTCAGATCAGTAAAGCGCGATCTTTTCCTCCCATTACTGGAGGAAAAATTACGGAGATTATAGCCTTCAGTACGATGGTAAGCAATCTAACTGCTTTTTTGGAGAATGCGGGTGCTGTCCCTCACTTAACCAATCCGACTTTGCTTGACGAGCTCGTAAGTAAATTGCCAATGAGTAAACGGGAAGAATGGGCCCGGTATGCATTTTCCATGAAGTTAATTTATCCGTGTGTCCGTAATTTCAGTAATTGGCTCCAAGAAGTTGCAATTTTTGTCTCTTTGTTGTAACTCCGAAGATTTCGAACGTAAACAAAAGCAGTTGAGTTCGAAGTCGATCAAATTTGTAAAGCCAGTGTTAGCGATGACGGAGAATAAATGTGTGTACTGCAAGAGTAATCATACTTTAAATCGGTGCCCTCAATTCAAAGACATTGAATGCGCTCAAAAAGCGCTTCGTAAAAGCACATCATTTGTGTTTTAGTTGCCTGCGCTCAGGGTATAGCGCTACGAGTTGTGGAACGCGCCGTGAGTGTGGACTTTATTCTTGCAGATTTCATAATCGGTTACTACATGAACAAAATGAAAAAACTTCTGGCAGCACTAAGATAAGTTCAAATGCAGTCGAAAAAACAAATAACGTTAATGAAGAGAGAGGATGAAGAGTTTAACAAAAGAACATTGTTTAAATTTTTGCCTGTGGAATTGAAAGGACCGCAAGGCCGCTGTAAAATTATGGCATTTATCGACGATGGTTCGAAAATATCGTTGATCGAAGAGCAAGTTGTGAAAGCTATTGGTTTAAAAGGTCCATGCGATAAGTTGTCTTTGCGGTGAATAGGAGGAAAAACAACTAGCGAACTATCACAACGTTTGGATATAGAAATTTCCGGTGTAGCTCATAGCGCAAACACATTTCAGATGAGAAACGTCGTACTACAAAAAAGTTAGAGTTGCCATCGCAGACTTTGAATTTTGCCAGCTTTAAATCGAAGTACGATAAGTTGAACAATTTTCCAGTCGATGATTATGTCGATGCAGTTCCACAAATCCTTATTGGCATGCCGCATACAAATTTGGTTCGTCCATTAGAGATTATAAAGTTAGATGGTTGTTTTTCTGTTCATAGGACGAATTTAGGATATATACTTTTCGGTTCTAATGAGGATAGCGTTGAAGGAGTAGTTTGTCGCATAGATCTTGAACAAGATGCGATAAGTGACATTCAGGAGCAAATAAAAGAGTATTTCAGCTTGGAAAGTTTTGGAGTGAAGCCCCTACAGCCGGTCATATCTGAAGCCGACAAAAGAGCTGAAGCAATTTTGTCAGAGTCAACCAAAAAAATTGGTAGTCGGTATGAAACGGGCTTGTTGTGGAGAACTGATGAAAAGAAGTTTTGCGAAAGTTATAGTATGGCACTGCGATGCCTTGAAATAATCGAAGGAAAAATGGCAAAAGATAATATATTGGTTAGTTGGTATAAAAATAAAATAAATGTGTACGTAGACAAATCGTATGCCAGAAAATTATCGTTTTTGGAGCCCAAACACTCATATTTATGCAATTTTAAACATTTGATGTGTAATTTTGCTCTACGTGACAAATTTGGTATGTGAAAGTAAACAGCCGGTGTTTAATTTTATTACACGGTATGTAAATTTTCACACATTAGGAGAGTAAACTGGTTACCTCTCTTTATATGCGTAAATTTGAACACAAATTTTTTAGAGGAAATTTTAAACATTTTATGTGTAAAATGTGAAATTATTAATAATAATTCAACAAACAGATTTGTTCTACGCCACACATATGATAAGTAATATTAAACAAACAGTGTTCAATTTAATTAATTAATTAATTTTCATTCATTAAGAGAGGAAACTGGTTACCTATCTTAATATGCGCAAATTTAAACAAAATTTTTTTAGAGTGTAATTTTGCTATGTTTCTATCTAAAGTCCGCGACTTTTTTAATGGGTCTGGTATTTAAATTTACAACTAGAAATTACATACATGATGCACACACCTACATATGTAGGAACTTTGAATATACACTTAAAAAAATTTTGTTAGACACTGCTTCAGGCGGTCTAAAAATCGAGTTTGGATTGCTCGAATGGATTCCTAGATTACCAAATTTAAAGAGTAAAGTTTGGTATGTTTCCATCGCTTTTCCTAATAGAAAAATTGTAAAAATTATTTTAAACATAGTACAGTAAAAATGGAAAGAAAATCGGTCGTCTAGCGATTTGTGGTAAGTCCATAAATAATTTTGATTATTTTAGTGTAGTTTAAAGAGAGGGTGCATTACAAAACGTCAATAAAAGCATGATTATGTCTCCTCAGTTCTAAACCACATTAGAAGAAAAAGTCTAGCTTGCGCAACCGGGTTGAAAACTAACATCTAACCGTGGTTGCGCTCATTGAGCATTACAATCTACTGAAGTTTAGAAATATTTGTATTTTGACGTTTTGGAATGCACCCAGATGTTAAAAATATGTCTGCGGGTCTTAGGAGTTTGTGGAATCGGCGCCATATTGCAAAGAAGGGTGTATACGTTTTTCGTAATTTACGTCGATGTATCAAAATTTAATGGCGTTTTCTTTTCGACTAAAAATTTTGCCTTCTCATTGCTCTCTCCTTAAGAAATATTTGTGCGTAGAGGAAACTAAAAATTTTTCGGTAGAAAAGAAAACGCCATAATTCTTGTGAAAATTGCACATAAATCATGTTGAATATAAGCCTGGTTCTCCTTCATACCAGCATGCTTTTTAATTGGAAGTTGATGCTCCATATCGATTCTGTAAGCATATGTAGTCAAGAACTTTGCAAAAACGATTTTATTTTATTCCTGTTGGCAGTCACTCTTATGAAAAATTATAGTTACCATAATTGTAGCTTAGAAAGTGGCCCCAAAAAATATCAGTTCAATTATAACCTACAGTATAGAGTAGAGCTATACATTTTCTTGCCTTTTTGATGCCTAAAAAGCCTCTGGTGCCAAGCGATGTACATTTAGACTACTATAATTTTGTAAAAACTTAAAAACTTTCCGTGCATAAGTACATTTGATAATATGGAAGAAAATTACTGACATCGTCAAAAATATGCCATACATCAACTGTAAATCACAGCTACTTTAAATTTGCACTTTATTATACTAAAATTGAATGAGCTAAAAAACTGCAAAATACTAAGAGATAAAATTGAAATAGAAAGTTCAACATTTTTACGAAAGTTGCCGATTTTTTTTTAATGTTGCTCAAAGA